AGTATGCACCAGATGATGAGGGAATGTTGTCCAATCACAGAATGGAACAGTAATTATAGGATGGACTATTACTGCTGAACCAAAAAGAAGGATGGGTATGGAGAATTCGGAGAAGCATGGGAAGACGATGGATGAGGTGATACAGGATGAGGAAAGCGGAGCCGGAAGAACGTCCCAGCCCTGTAACTAAAGTCAACACCAGCAACAGCTAACCTAGGCGAGGCTGACCTACAGCGTCAATGGCGGTTCCGTCCAGTCAGAGTCTTTCCTTTCCGCAATCAACAAATGACTTCTTCAGGGAACAGACTTGTCTGGCTGCTTGTTGGGAAGTGTGGTTTGGTCATGTACAAAATTTAGCGGCAAATTTTAAAAACAAAAACTCATCCTGTCCAGCTAGAGAGTCTACCAGGAGAGAGGCCATTCATTTACCTACAATAGGCAATGGTGGGCCTTATTTTGATGCTACTTTTTTTAGGGGGGAAGATTGTTTTACAATAAAAGTCACACACTATGCCCTCTTTGACACTGTTGGAAACTTCAGATTCACTGAATGCACTTACAAACTGTCCCAATCCCACACTAGCAGATCCACCTTCGAGTGTGATTACACTAGGAAGATGCTCACTGTGGGGACAGCCAAACTTCTTTGGGTGGCCCTTATCCTCATTCATTTCTAGGACAGCCACATAGTATGGGCATGCAGTTTTTAAAATACTAAGTGGACGCTAATCAAGGCTTCCAATCCGAGAATAACTATTAAAGACCATCCAGGGCAACTTAACAATATCTCAAAGGAATATGAAAGAATGACTGATGGAGAAGGATGACCAGCAACTCTCCATTGTCACCAATGACTCGAGCAGCCAGGACCCCCCCATGGATGGGACTGCCCTGGACTGGAGCACTCCATTCTCACATCTCACAAAGAGGCGTGGGGGCAGCACTGGGAAGCAAGCGAGACCTCGCCTATGTGCCTTGCTTTGTGCCCCTCAAGTCACTGGGCTCTTCGTATCATTCCCCAGTTGTCATGGAGAAGGACGTCAGCCCTTGTTTCTCAGAATCCTCCCCCTTTGCTCAGTCCACTCCTCCACCCATCACCACCAAGAGGCCTCTTTCAGAAGAGGTCAGATGGGAATTAATCTGGCAACCCAGCTGAGACTAGAACAGGAGGGCTGAGGCCAGAGTGAAGGAGGATTGACTTCTTTGTAAGAAATCTGGAAAATGCCAAAAAATACTTCACTGAAAGAGACTGTGGACCTATTTACTCAGGATATCTTTTGGAATAAGGCAAGCTGTCTCAATGTAGTACCGAGGCTATCTGAGGAAATGGGCTGACAGTGGGTTTCCCTGGGCCCATTAATCTATGGTAATTTATTTAGCCAAGGCCCTATAGAGCACAGTAACTCACTGGCCTGACAATTAGCCACTGATGTTAGGGTTTAACAACTTCTTTTAAAGCTACAGTCAGAGTGAAAATGGAAACTCTGCAAGGTCTGTAATGAGGATGGGACGAATACAAATGAAGTCCCTTATTTTTTTTTTAAAGATGCTGTATTTCAATGAACTGTCCCAGACAAGGAACTGGCTTCTAATTCGCTTTCCCTGCTGTTCATCTTGCTCAGTGTAGAAGCAATTCAGGAAAACGAGGTTACATTTCCCACACAGAAACGGAGCATCTTTAAAATTAGAGAAATCATGATCAGCTTACTTTACCGAAAATTCACCTTCAAAATGGTGCATGCTCTACTGAAAACAGCAAAGAGAAAGAAAAAGAGAGAAAGAGGGGTTATGAGTCAGTATTCAGACGTTAGTATCATCAATCAAACACTTAGAGGCAGCAAGAGGAGACTGAGGGACATGTCGGTGACTCCCCCTGCTAAACCAGGACAGAATCCGATAAACAAAATCATTCATTGGTCTGCAAACATTCAAGTGGTCCTTTCAGTATTGGAGAAAATCATTGATAAATCAATTCATTGTCTGAGCATTCCTTTTTTGGAATGGGTAAAATCTTATTTTTGTGGGCTCAGAAGAATAAGAATTATTCCACAAAAATATCTCATCTCAAGGCTTGGGCATCTGAGGAGCTGTTTGTTTGGCTAAGTATGACTTTCTGCAGTAAATAAAACTATATCAAGAAAACCCAGAGACCTGAAAATCCAGTTTGGTTTTGTTTGTTTTTTTCTTACATTGGACTACAAGAGTCTGACATGAAAGCTTGCCTTGAAAAAATTAGGAGGGATTAAAACACAGCTCGTGACCATTTTTAAGCCAGAAGGAGGAACCCTGGGCTTTTTTATTTTGAAGTCAAGTGGCTCCACAGTCACATATAAGGAATAATACCTTCCTTAAAGCTGACTCATCTTGTCCTCAAGTGAATTAAATCCATGACTTAGCACAAAGGGGAAAATGTTTGTCCCCTGATTGTACCCCAAGAATGAAGCCAACACAACTGTGCCCACACACCTGAGACACTCTAGGAGGACAGCAGCAAGTCCTCTGGAGGGCAGAGGTTCAAATCTCAGCTCTGCTACATACGATGAGACCCTGAGTAAATCACTTTACCTCTCAGGCTCAGCTTTCTCATTTATAGGATGGATGGGTTGTATTAGATCAGGGGTTTTTCACCCGGGAGTTGGTGAACTTGTGATTTTAAAAATATTTTGATGACTGTATCCCAATGTATTTGGTTTCCTTTGTAACCCTGTGTATTTTATGCATCTAAAACCATAAGTCTGAGAGGGGTCCATTGTTTCATCCACTGCCAAAGGGGTCCAGCAAACAAAAGTTAAGAAGCCCTAGACCAGGGGATCTCGGAAGTCCCTAAGTTACCCTCTGATATCAAGGAAATAGTCTCTTCAAGTGTAAAAGGAAAACAATAATGCTGGTAAAGGCTTTGGTCCCAGGAACGCACTGACGTGTGGATGAGACCATTAAAGGGGGCCGAGGGAACACAGTGGGGAATGTGCAGGGCTAGTCCTCGGCAGACTTGGATTGTAATTCTGGGCAACTCGGGGCAAATCACTCAGATTTGGCCTCTGTGAGAGGGGACCATGTAGCAAACAGTGGGTACCAGCCAATGTCCCTCCCATTGTCCCCTGGATGCAGCCTGTGCTCGGTTCCAGTCAATCTCCTCTTTGGGATCCTCTTGAGGCAGGGACAGCTCTACACCCCTTGCCAGCAGGAAGCAGTTTCAGAAGCCAACACCTTAGCCCCTTACCCCAAAGAATTTCAGTCCCATTTGTTTGAGGGGGAAATGATGGGGATGGGATCTGAACCCCTAAAAGAAAAAGACCATGTCTTCAGGATCTGGACCCCAAAAAAGAAAAGCCCTGGACTTTCCCACTCCAAATCTCTGGCATTTGCCTAAACCTATAATCCACTCAACTGGCCTTTCACTGTGGCTGAGCCCAATCTCGCAATTCCGTTCTGTCACCTCCCCATTGCCCCACACCACTTCCCGCCCTTAATTCCATCTAGACTCCATTCTCCCTTGGCCTAGTGGTCCAGGTCCTTGTTGTTGTTGCCTCAGTCACCCCAGCTTGCTAGCCACTCCCATCCAGATCCTCCTTAGACCCCTTCTCCAGTCACCCCAGACTACTTGGCCACTCCTAGATCCCTCTCACAGTCTTTCTGTATATAAGGTCCATCTTGGCCACCATTAAGGTGCTCATTCTGAAAATCTGGCCCCGCTTGCTTTAGTGATACAGATACAAATTGAGAGTCTGGCCAATATGGTGGATTCCTAAAATCTCGCCCAACCCCGATCGATATTCTAATAAACCTTGTCTTTGGCTGGAAAAAAAAAAAGAAAGGGGACCATGATATTACTTATTCCATCAGGTTGCTGACTCAGAGCCCCAGACAAATGTGACGATTCTAAGTCATATAATGAAAGGAGCTTATAAACCTTAGGATCATTATTTGTCCTCTACTTTCCCCATCCTGGTCTTCGAGGCATCACTGACTTTCCTTTGGATTCCACTTGCAGATTTTTCTATTTTTGTCAATTCTTTGTTTTGGAACCCCAAAACCCAACCATATAAAACCATCTGGAGGAAAGGCTCAGTGCTCTCTCACTTAGCATGGTGAAGGGCCTATGTCTGTCCAGGACACAGGAGGATACCTATCCTAGAGAAGAAAAGACTGGGGAGGGGGAGGAATGACATGGAACAGGAGTCATCTTCAATGATCCGGAGGGCCGGCACATGGAGGAGGGATTGGCCTTGTTCTGCCTGGCCCCAAAAGGGCCGGGGGAAGGGACGAAGGAGAGATTTAGGCTTAATGGAACCAACCCCGGCTACGAAGAAGAGCTGCCCCCAAAGTGGAAGGGATGGCCTCAGGAGGTGGCAAGGGACCCCTGGCTGGGCTTGTTGTGGAAGATATTCCTTTGTTGTTCTTTTTTTTGTTTGTTTTGTTTTTTGCTTTTTTTGGTGAGGCAATTGGGGTTAAGTGACTTGCCCAAAGTCACACAGCTAGTGAGTGTAATGTGTCTGAGCATAGATTTGAACTCAGGTCCTCCTGACCCCAAGGCCAGTGCTCTATCCACTGCACCACCTAGCTACTCCTTGAAGATATTCCTTTGGTTAAGTGGCAGGATTCAGTCAAGTGGATGCTGACAAGCTGTGTGACCCTGAGCAAGACTTTCGCCTCTGCCTCATTTTCCTCATCTGTAAAATGGGCTAACAATAGTACCTACCTCTCAGGGTTGTTGTGGGGATTAAACGAGATATTCATAAAGCCCTCTGCAATCCTTAAAGCACTCTATAGATGCTAGTGATTATTATTATCATTCTTACTATTTCCCGGAGAGCCCTTTCCCTTCTCAAGTTCTGTGACTTAATAATGCTTTTTTAAGAATTAAGAAATCACAAACCAGCAGGTCTGCTACAATATAATGAGTGGTGCTTTAAGGCCTCTGTGCACATAAACTATGCTATTTTAAGGGATTCCTCTGGGCAATGTGCTGGGGAGATTATCTTACTAATAGAAAGTCTAAGTAGTAGGGGGGATGTTTATTGTAAGTATTAAGTAAAAGGCCATGAAAAACCATGACTGTTACTCAAGCTCTCAAAGCTCCTCCCCCACATCCAGCATCGAGGCCATCAGGCTCCTGATGTCCAGTACATTGTTTTGTTTACTTCTATAAGCCTTTCTACATTGATCACATTCACAAGGTTTCTCTCCAGTGTGGATTCCCTGATGTTTAGCAAGGTGAAAGCTTCTTCTAAAAGTCTTTCCACATCGATTACATTCATAAGGTTTCCTGCTGGTGTGAATTCTCTGATGTATAATGAAGGATGAACGTTCACTAAAAGCTTCACCACATTCTTGACACTCGTGTGGTTTCTCTCTAGTATTAATTTTTTGATGGTAAATAAGGGATGCCTGTTGACTAGGCTCTTTCCTACTATAATGACAATCGTAACATTTCTATCCTGTGTGGATTCTATGAAGAACAGAACATGTTTGTCTCCCAGTGAAGTCCCAGGAACTCATGAAGTTTTCCTTGCAAGTTTCTTTCACAGAAATGCTTAGCTTTGCAGTAGTCTCTTTCATTTCAGGTCTAATCTCTCTTTCTGGACAGCAGCTCCTCAGGCCTTCATGTCCCAGCAGCCATGGTGCTTCGCTTTCCTCACAATAAGAAATCAAATCTTCTCTGAGAACTGGCAGCCCCAGGGAGACCAGGTTTTGGGCATTTTCCAGCATGAACTCCTTGTACAACTTCTTCTGAGGATGGTCCAAGAGGCCCCACTCCTCTTGGGTGAAGTGCACAGCCACATCCTTGAATGTCACCAGCTCCTGGGCTGGGGGGTCTGCTACTCCCAGGGGCCATTCCCTCTGACTCCAGGCTCCCTCCTGGGTCAGGCCTTGGTGTTCTGCACACCAAGCTGGGGAGGGAGAAGGACCCCGGGGCAGGAGGCTGGCCTGGGCCACCACCCACCAGGCTGGTCATCTCTGAGAGCTCCTGAGTATATTACTTATATTGAGCCCACAATGGCTTCCAAGACCAGAGGCGGCAGGGAGGTGCATTCCCAGAAGGTTAATGCTGTTTTTCCCACACTGGAAACCCACCAGTGAGCAAGCATAAGGCTGCTTTTAGCTGGTACTATTAAATCACAACAGTCTTTGTGTTATTTGCCAGAAATATTTCACAAGCATAAGGTTATCTTTAACTGCACATATATGTAAAATATGCACTTGCAAAAGCTTGGCTCTTTCTTGTTGCCTCCAGGGTCTGTGCCTTGGTCCGATGTCCTAGGGAGTTTCCTACAGCCAGAAGTGAAGTGACTTGCAGAGCTGGGATCTGAACCCAGGTCTTGCTGATTCCAAGCCCGCTTTCTGGCCATCTCATCAAGCTCGTTCTCTCAAATGGTAATACAGCTGAGCCTAACGACCTGAGAAAGGAAGATACTGCTATCGGGCCCAATCGTTACAGCAACATGAGAATAACACAGTGATAATGCGAACCAAGAAATCTAGAAATAGTTTCTAATTCCTACATTAGGTGCTCTCATAGCTGCTGGGGTTACCGAGACACAGACAACCCCAGGCCCTGCCCTTAATTAAGGAGCTGACACTTTACTAAGGTATAAACACAGAAAATTAAATACAAAACACTTAAGGGGATTTCTCTGGGGAGGATGCTAGTAACTAGAAGGCTCAAGACAGGCTTTTTGGCAGCATGCATGGTGGACTTGGAGTCAGTAAGAACCTGAGTTGGAATCCCTTCTCAGACATTGGCTAGCTGTATGACCTTGGGCAAGTCATTTAACTTCTATCTGCCTCGGTCTCCTCCCCTGTAAAATGGGGATAATAACAGCACCTCCCTCACAGGATCAAATGAGGATCAAATGTGAAAATCTATGAAAAGAGCTTTGCAACCCCATGTGCTGTATAAATGCAGGCTATTATTAGGAAGGGGTGCTTGAGTTGAGATCTGAAGGAAGCCAGAAATTCTGCAAGGTAGAGAGGCAAGAAGGTGAGAGCACAGCTAATGCAAAGGCAAAGGCGCTGGAATGTCAGAGACTAGAAACAGCAAGTGTGGCCAGAACGTGGAGCGTGTGAGAGAAAACGACAGCCACACTCGGAGGGACTGGCCGGAGGGATGGGGAGGTCAAATGAACAATGTGGACTTTATGCCCGGGGCGAGAAGAAGCCAATGAAGCTTCTTGAGCAAAGAAGTGACCGGGTCAACCCTGGGCTCGAGTAAGACCAACTCTGCTGCTAGCAGAAGGAAAAATAAAGCACCTTTCCCTTTAACAGGAAATCTGCATTTCATTTTAATGAAAAAATGTGCCGTCCCTTGGTTATGACTTCATGAATTTTCATAGCCGCAAACCCCTTCTGGCTCAGTTTACTTGGGATAAAAGTAAATTCCTTCCGGGCTCGAAATCTGTCCTTGAGAACTGCTTTTGGAGCACCTCATGGATTTTGGGAAATCGTTTTAGTGTACTGTCATCTTTTAAATATTTCATTATCATTTTTTACATTCCTTTTTTAGCATAATTGTTTGATAGTTTACCAGTTTCCATGCAGTCTTAAATCCTTTATGTACGTTATAATTTTTAGTGATATTAATCTTGGGGCCTGAAAACATTTTGGTGCATATGCATATTTTTTTCTGTTACTTTTCATTTTCTCACAATTATGCGGTTTCCATTTTTTTTTGCGTAAATTCAACTTTACCTAATGATGTAACTGACAGTCCTATTTTTAAACAAACTTGCAAGTTATATTTTAGTTAATTTCTTAAGTTAATGTTTATATTATCAATTTAATATAAATATCCTCCCTAAAATCTGCCTCCAATGCCACACCATTAGACACACTGACACACAAAAGACGTCTCAGGAACTGGAGAAGAGAGGGCTTCAAAGGGGCAGCAGTGGACAAGGGCCCAATTTGTTCTGTTCAGTCCTAGAGGGAAGAGCTAGGAGCATGGGTCAGGGTTCAAGAGAAGCAGATAGAAGCCTGATGTAAGAAAAAGCTTGCTGACATAACAATGAAAGCGCCAATGAAAGCACTCCGGGGCCCACGAACTCCCTTCAGGATCAGAGGGGATTACAGATGTTGTTTAGAACTGGATGGGAGTCCAGCAGCCATTAGGTCCAGTCAATCCCTCCATTTTATGAAGGAGGACACAGAGACACAGGTGGCCAACACAGGACACAGAGACAAAGGCCTGAGAGCACACAGGTGGCCAACAGCAGGGCTAGAACAGGCAGCTGATGGGCCTCCTCTTATCAGAGGTCTTCAAACAAAAATGAGATAGCCCCTGGGGGCCTCTTGACTAAGATTCTTGGATCCAGCAGCTGTGGGTAGGGTCAGGCTGAGCTGTACAGGAATGAGAGTCTAGCAGGTGGGAGATGGAAAACAATCCTGAATCACAGGGATCAGAAGAACAGTGGGGCAGAAACTGCTAGTCTTGGGGCTGGGGGACAAGGCAGGAGATCTACAGTGAAGGCAAGCCTTTTACGCCTCCCCAGGACCTCCCTCTGCATCCTTCCTCAGACCTTGGTGAGCCCCTCCCTTCCTGCCTCGTCCAGTAGAATGCCCCGAGATCAGTCCCACCATCGCTCTTCTGGCTGCTTCCCTCCACTCATAAACATGCCCATGTCTCCCTCATCCTCAAAAGCCCCTCCCTTGTTGCTTCCATCCCTGATGATTGTGCCCCACCTCTTTTGAGGCTAAACTCCTTGAGGTCACCTACAACAGAAGCTCCCAAATCCTCTCCTCTCACTCTCTACAATCAATCCTGCTTCTGACCTCATCATTCCGCCCAAACCCCGTTCTCCAAAGTTACCGAGGATCTCTTAGGTGGCAAATGCAATGGCCTTTTCTCAATCCCATCCTTCCTCTCTGCAGCCTCTGATGCCACTGATCACTCTCTCCCACTGTCTGAGCACTCCTCCATCTCCTTTCCTGGATCTTCATCCATTTCACCCCTACTGATTGTGGGGATCCCCAAAGGCCCTCTTCTCCTCTTCCTAAACCATTTCACTTGGTAAGCTCATCAGCTCCTACAGACTCAATTAGCATCTGTACTGCTGAAAAGGGCAGCGAGGTGGCACAGGCCTGCAGGCGGGAAGATTCATCTTCCTGAGTTCAAGTCTGGCCTCGAAACACTTCCCAGCTGTGTGACCCCTAAGCAAGTCACTTCACCCTGATTGCTTCAGTTCCTCACCTGGAAAATGAACTGGAGAAGGAACTGGCAAACCACTCCAAGTATCTTTGCCCAGAAAACCCCAAGTGGGGTCACGAAGAGTCGCACATGACTGAAAATGACTGAACAGCAACCAGGACGGCTGATGATTCTCAAACCCGCTTATCCAGTGCTAGCCTCTCTGCTGATCTCCGGTCCTGCATCTCTGACTGTCTATTAGGCCTCTCAACCCAGATGTTCAAAACTGAATGCATTATCTTTCCCCCCAAGTCCTTCTCCTTTCCAAACTCCCAGTCCCTCAGGCTCACAACTTTGGAGTCATCCTGGACCCTCCCACACTCAATCGGGTGTCAAGGCCTATTGATTTCACCTTTGCAACATCTCCCCCATACATCCACTTCTTCTCCCCTCTGACACCGCCCCTGGTGCAGACCTTCATCTGCCTGCTTCCATTCAGCTGCCAAAGGGATTTTCCTAAAGCGGGTCCAAGTGTGTCACCCCCTACTGTAAAATCTCCGAGGATCACCTCTACTTGGCATTCAAAGCCCTTCATAACTAGGACTCTTGGGCAGGCCAGGGAAGCCTCTAGACCCTCTGTAGAATAGATTTTAAATGCATAAAACAAAAACCCACAGGATCATGAAGGAAACTAATGATACTGAACTATAGCTCTGCAAATATTTAAAAAGCAAAATCACAGACCCCAGATTAAGAAGCTCTGCCAGTGTCTTACTTGAGAGGAAATGGAAGTTTTGGGGTTTTTTTTTTTCATGGAGTGCCCACATGCTAGTTCTGTGCTGCATAAATGCGTCTCCCCAATCTTGAACCCAGCAGGGACTCAAGAAATATCTCTTGACTGGCTGATGAAAAGCACACCTGGTGTCCATGAAGACACTTTATTTAGAGATGCATCACTGCCCTCTGCCATCCCCTCAGCCTATTGCTCTTTCTCTCCCTGTTCCCCTTCACAGCAAAGCTTCTAGGAAAAGCTCCCTGCCTCCCCTGCCTCAATTCTCCCCCACTCGTAGGGCCAGCACGGTGCATGACACAAACAGACACCTGATGAATGGTTGGTGACTGACCGCTGGGTGGGGGAGGGAGAGAACCAAAAGGACCCATCACGTGAATCACTCCTCCTGGCTTTGGAGGACCAAAGGACCCAAGCTGGGAGCTGGAACTGGGGGGCTGAAGAGCTCTGTTGTTGAGAACAGAATGCCAGCTGCCCACTGGCCTGGTGGTACCGGCAAAGGCTGGGTACTGTGGGAAGGCCATTCTGGATGACTTCCCAAAGGAGGGAGCATTTGAGAGGAATCAGGCCGTTGGTAGAGAGTGATCGCTCAAGGCATAGAGAAGAGCAGGAGCAGAGGGATGAAGGCAGGGGAACAGAGGCGTGGTGAGAGGGCCTGGGCACGAGAAGGAAAGGTGGGCAGCAGGTCCCCCAAGGTCACCCTTCTCTCAGCCTACTCTCCCCTCTCTTTAAGAGGAGAAAGCTGGTCTCAGTGGCTTCCAGGGGCCCTTCTGGCTCTCCATCTCTGCTGCTATCACCAGAGTGCAGGGTATCTGCTGAGAAGCAGAACAGATAAGGCCGAGGAGATAGAGAACTGGAGAGGGCCTCAAGCACAGGGGGAGGCTTGAGGGTTGAGGATGGGAACCCACCTGGGAGGAGGAGGAGGGGCAGCTGGACTGAATAACCCAGCAGTCAGTGAGATCCCTCAACACACTGAGGTGGGACTGTTACATTCGGTGGAGTGGGGGAGGGGGGACAAGAGCCCCCTGCCCCAGTCCGGCCAAGTCAATGAAATTCTAGAAAGTAAGGAGCAGGAACAGAGACAAGCAGGTATTTTAGTTCTTAAAGTGAAGGGTAAAAAAAGTGTTTACACTTTATGACCCCTTTACAGAGGCGGCAAAAGCTCTCCACTTCAACTTGATGGAACGAGAGGGCCTCCAGCACTAGCAGTGGGAGCCCAGCCTCTCTGGGGGCCCTGGGGTGCAGGACAGCTCTGCTGGCTCTGGGCCGAGAAACCAGGCTTCAAGAGGGAAGGGTTCTCATTCAGACAGGGTGGGGGACAATGGGAGAAATGAGCTAAGAGACATTATAAGATAATTATCTATTTTCTCACATGAGAATTCTCTGACATTTCCACCACACTCCAGGAACCTCACCATTAGGACGACCTCAGCATCCTACGAAATCCCATCAGCCTTGGGGCTCTACCCTCTGCCTCTCTGCCTCGAGGATGGGGACAGGAACTCCAGAACCTCCTTTAGGAAGAAAGCTCAGCTCACCATCTTTGCATCTACCTTCCAGGGTGCTCTCGCCCCAGTGGACTGTAAGCTCCTTGAGGGCAGGGACTGTCACTGTTTTTTTGTATCTGTATCTCTAGCTAGCACGGTGCCTGGCACAGAATAGGCGCTTTATGAATGTTCATTAACTGACTTGACTGCTCAGCTGGTTCTGTTCATAAGAACATCAGAAGACGCTGGCTGGCAAACTCAGCAGGGCAAAACCAAGCACGGAATTTTGCTTATTCCTTCAGAAATTAGAAGCTGAAGAGCTGACATAATGAAACCCTCGATTAGAGGAAGCCTGCTGTATCTAGGCCACACTGGCTGAAAACTGAAAAACCACCACATCACTTCGGAGTCACTGTTATTATAAATCGGGGCCAGAAGCAGAACATTTATTCCAAATGGAAAACTTCCCAGACTAAGTGATAGCAATGAGCACTTGACCGGCTGTGAGTGGCATAAATGCTTAAATCGTTGGTAATAACTTTACATGTAGGAATAAAAAATGGTGGAACGTATCTGGAGGTGGCAGCTGGAAGATCAAGTCCTTGGGTAACAATGATGAGACAGAGGTCATGTGTAGACATAGGGTATCTCAAAATCTATAAACGGAATTCATCACTGAGGCAATGAGTTGAAGACCACCGAACATCCCAGGAACATTCGTGGAATGCATCTCCACTATCCACAGGTGAGAAACGTCAGTCAGGCTCATATTGCATATCGAAATATAACATGGAAGACCAAACTTGAACCATATTTATATTCAAATACTGAGGAGTCAAGCCATCTGCTCCCCAAATCACAGTCCTCTCTTGCTCAGATACTTCCTTCTCCTCAGGGAATAACCCACAATCTTCAGCTGAGCTGCGTCCCGTCGGTTGAGAACGGATAGTTACACTTACATTTTTGACAACTCACTCACCTGCTGTCGAGGGCGGGGTTGGAGACGATGGGGATGTCAGTGGAGAACTTGCCCCAGATCCTGCTAAGACAAAAGAAAGAGTCTCACATCAACTAAAGAAGGATATGGAAAATTCAGCATTAGCCAAGAACATGGATGAGGATTATCTACTCTCTCTGTTCAGAAAATTCAGAGGAAACTGCTCATCGCCGGACTCCACTTCCCCCTGCGTAGCGTTGCTCCTTCGGGTCTGGCCCGGTTTAAAATCCATTTCCCTGATCAAACCGATTCTGCCATTATTCCTGGAGGTGTGTGTCAGTCCGCTTCCCTGGAGCCCCACTCACCAGCCCTATAATTTCCTTCATCATCCCAAGGGCTCCTCCTTGGTCACCACCCCTCGGTTTGGGTTGTTTCCCTTATTAGAATGTAAGCTCCTTAAGGGCAGGGACTTGCTCTTGCTTTTGTATTTGTATGCTCCACACTTAGTATGGTGGTTAGCACATAGGAAGAGCTTAATAAATGATTTTCTTTCATTCACTTAGTCAGTTGGTTATTCATCCATCTGTCCATTCAACCAATTTTGGGCAAGTTTCAGTAACCTGTCCAATGAAGGGTGCTATTTCTTCCCGTGGCAATGGTCACTCCTGAGGCAATACCAATAAATGGGAAGAGCAATTATGGCACCTCATCAGAATGCAACTGTGTTAAAAAAAAAAAAGTTCTTCCTCAGAGCCCAAGTGGGTGCACTTGCAATTCAAGCAGGATTTCCATTTTGTTTTGTACAAACAGATGCTTTTTTCTGGCACTTGATGTTACGGTAAATCCCCAATTACTCAGGGGATGACTGTCCAGCTTGGAGATCACCCAGGCCCTCGCCTATTTCTCCTGAGTGCCTATCTTTTGGCTCTCCACCTTTCCATGATTTCACTGCTCTTTTTTTTTTCAGCCAAAGACAAGGTTTACTAGAACATCCGTCATATTGGGCAGACTCTTAAGGAGTCTGAATGTTAGTGGGCTATTGGCTAGATTATAAGAACCTGAGCAGTGGCTGGATTATAAGAATCCCAGCAGGGGGTAGGTTATAAGAATCTAAGCATCTTAATGGAGATGAGATGGACCTTGTATACAGAAAGACTATGGGAGGGATCTAGGAGTGGCCAAGTACTCTATGAGGCAATAGAACTCCAGGGTGGCCAAGGGAGAATGGAATCTAGATAGGATTAAGGGTGGAAAGTGGTCTGGGGACATAGGGAGGTCTAGGCTAGGTTAAGGGTAACAGATTGGGCATAGCCACAGTGAAAGGCCATTTGATGGGATCATAGCCTCAGGGATTTGGCCATGTGGGAAAGTCCAGGGTTGTTCCTTTCTGGGGTCCAGATCTCAACCCCATCATTTCCTTCTCAAACAAATGGGAATTTCACTACCCTTTCAAGACATGCAATGATTCTCCTTGTTCACACTGATAAGATTCCCATTTTCTGTACTTAATATGTTCTCCCTATATCCTTACACTTGACTATAGACCCTCTTGGCAAAGCTCTATTTTCTGATGACCAACTCTTCAGATCGGCTCAGAAGCTGTAGAACATATTCTGGGTGACTATTCAAATCTATTTTGTGCCTTCCTTTGTCATTCCCATACACCTCCATCTTGAGAAATGAGAGAGCCAGAGAGGCCTTGGCTGGCTAGGGAGCTCCCTTCCTCCACTGGGTGCAAGGCCATCGTAGGCAAGACCCAGGCTGCTGGGCTCTCTGAACAAGTTACCTGAATTATTGGAGTTGCTGGATTTGGCCGTCTGATCTTCACTGCTTTCAAATGCAGAGTGCTTTGATTTCTTTTAAAAAAAAGGCAGAAAAAGGAAGGAATGAGCAAAAAGGCTGAAGTAGTGGGCAGATTAAAACAGACAAGCTCCTATGTGGCCTTCCTCACATATCTGAGAAGACTAAAATCCAGCAGGCTTCTGGACTTGGGCGTCTTGGCACCCAAAGGCCCAACATTTAAGAATATCTTGGAAGATTAAGCTGCATCAGTTGATATGCTTTTTAAAACCAGAAGCAAAGAAAATAGATGATAGAGGAAAATGCTATTTCAAAGGAAAATTCTAGTATTTTTTGCCTGGATTGAGGCATCTGGTCCTTATGGAGTTAGAGATCATCTAATTCAAGGTTCCTAACATGGGGCCAGTGAATGTGATTTGTTTGTTTTTAACATAGTTATTTGTGCCTGTTTTGACAACACACATGATAACGTGTGTATATTTCAATATAATTGGCTTTCTTTGTAATCTTGTGGATTTTCTGTACTTAAAACAGACTCTGAGGTGGGGTCCGCAGGCTTTGCCAATGGGTCTCTCTCTCTCTCTCTCTCTCTCTCTCTCTCTCTCTCACACACACACACACACACACACACACACACACACACACAGAGGTTAAGAACCTGTGATCCAATCCAACCCCTTCTTTTTAGGGAGTAGTCAATGGACTCAGAAGAGGTGACTTCTCTAATGTCTTAAGGAGCAGGGGCAGGATTTGAACCTGGGTCCTCTGCCTCCAAATCCACACTCTTCCTTTCTATCCCACTGTCCCATTGAGCTTTGTTGCTCTATGGGAAGGTAAGGATAAGATCCTCACAGGGTGAGAAGGATCTGCTATTGTATCAAATGTGATTCATTAAAGTAACACACACACACACACACACACACACACAACCTAAAGGGTGAAAGTGAGAGGAATGGACCTAGGAGGGAGACAGCTCATTCTCCTGCAAACCAGGCCTTTGGAGGTTGCCTGAGCAGCGGGGGCCAGAAGCTTTGATGCAGACTTGCCGAGAAAGCTGCCATCACCCAAGGAGACCCTTTCCTTGTCCGCACTGTCCAGCCCGGGAGGCCACACCACCCACACCCTTCTCACCTTCCGGGCTAAGATCTTTCGTTTCCTCCTCTCTTCCTCGGAGCCGTGGTGGGACTTGGCCCTTGTCAATCTGCGATGCTGGTGAATCTTTAGAAAACAACAACCCCAGGCATCAGGCCTCTCCCACACAGAAGGGATTCATCTGCCAGGCTTCGGTTCTGCCCCATAGATGGATGCCCCTTCCCAATGAGAGATACCCTGTGACCTGGCAGGCATCTCAGGCTGGGAACCTTTATTAAGCTCCGGCTGTGAGCCAGGCACTGTTCTGGGGACCAGGGGTAGGAGGCTAGGACAAGGTCTGAGGTTTCCCTGGTATTGGGAACCCTTGGAGAAGGAAACATCATCTACAGATGTACGCCGGCTTCCTCTCTGAAGCTTACAGAGTTAAGAGAGTCGTGGAGAACAGGGAGTCAAATCCAGACAGAAACAAGGGCCATTGCATGTGCTTAAGGCTCCCTGCAGGCTGCACATGGCCTTAGAAAACCACTCTTTATGGATTTCTTTCTTTATGAATACATTAACACACTAAAATCAAAGAAGACCTATACTTCAGACACCGCTCAGGAGTGCTGTGGGCCCTGTCTGACTTCTCTGGCCTAGCACGAGAGGGTCAGGTTGGGACCTGAACCCAGGGCTTCCTGGGACTGAGGCCAGATCTCCATTCACTACCCTGGGTTTGCTGCCTCTCAGGGGTGAGGATTCAGACAAAAATGAAAATAGCCCCTGCCTCAAACTCTCATTTTACCAAGAGGAAGGGACAGGTGCCAAGGAAAGTCTAGAATGTAAACAAAGTGAGTGTGTGTGTGTGTGTGTGTGTGTGTGTGTATGTGTGTGCGTGTGTGTGTGTGTGTGTGTGGGAAGCACTAACCCTAACCCTGAGGGGGTCAGGAAAGTGTGCTGGCTGGGCTGGAATGCAGTGCATGTGGAGAAATGGGTGAGGTCAGCCTGGGACAGGCTGAGGCCACACTGGGAAGGGCTTTAAACAACAAAAGGTTTTTCCCTTGAGGTCACCTGGGTAAAATGGATAAACCGGGCAATCTCAGGCCACTTCTTGTGCTCCCACCTGGCCCCCCGAAGCCTCACCATCCAGCTCTCCTTGGTGGGCAGATACACCCCGTTAGGCACGGGAGTGTGCCCTGCTCTTCTGCTTCCTCTCCCCCTTTGGCAGCTTTAGCAGCTGAAATGGCTACAATTTTCATGCCAATGCAGACAACTCCCAAATTTCTCTGGCTTAGCTTCAACTTCTCCCCAGGGCTCTCCCTCTATATTGTTAACTACCTGCTGGACAATTATAGCAGGGGCTCTTAACCTAGCGGGGTGGGATGGACCCCCAAGGGAGTCAGAGAAATTAGATGGGAAAAATATGTCTACAGCTGTATTTCAACATAATTGGTTTCCGCCAAAATCCTACATATTTTGTTTTATGCTGTTTTATTTGCTTGCTTTTATGTCCCCAGATCATAGTGAGGTAACTAGATTAGAGGAAGCACTTTAATAAATGTTCCACTCATTCCACTCAACCCTAATTCATCCATCTATCCATCCATCCATCCCCCCACCCATCTTGAAGGCATGCATTCTAGCCTTGAGTAGTACAGACACATAGCTGACCATCCAGTCTAACCATCCCCATTGGCTACATCTTTCCTAAAAGGGGGAAGAAAGAGGGTTAGGGGCACAATGGAAAACTTGAACAACCATGAGAACTTACCAGTTTTTGCTCTTCAATTAGCCTCTTCTCTGTGCTTTCTTTGGCAATTTTCAATGCCTCTTTTAACTTCGTGGGGATCTGCATAGAAAAGGAGAGAGAGGAGGCCTTTACCAACAATGAGGGGAAACAAGAACTGAGTCCATCTTTCCTTCTAGGAGTGTTTGCTGGCTAGGAACAAACAGCCACCTGAACCGTGTAAGGAAGAAGCTGCCAACACGAGATCCAGGCCAGCCGGCCCTGGCACTGACAGTGCGCTCAGCTGCCCAGCCTTTTCATAGAGAGCAGGTAAAGCGAAATGATTCATAGGAGCAGAGCTGTCGTGCTGGAAGGGATGTGAGAGGCTGTCTGGTCTGGCCTCCTCATCTTACAGCGGAAGAAACCTGTCCAAAGTCACCCCTGAGTACGTGGCCCAGGGAGGAACTGAACTCGGGTCCTGGGCCTACGTCCAAGGCTCTTTCCGCTGAGCCATGATCAATAAATCATGTTCTTCTTCATTTCCAAAGAATGCCCCTCACAGCGGTATGTCTGACCAGGGCTCCTACAAGCCCTGCTCAGTGTCTCAGCCACGATCCTTCTTGGAGAGCAAGCAAAGCAAAGTACACGTCAAGGGAACTCAGAATCAGAGAAAGACTCCAAGAATCAGACTCTGATCCTGGTTAAGTGGACTCGATGTACATAGCCTAGAAAATGGGCACATAGAGACTTTGGTCAGGAACAGTGAGGCTCACTTGATGATCTCTGCAGCCATGAGTGCAAGGGCTGGGGGGAGGAGGGGGAGAGAACCCAGGCTGAAAGCAAGCAGACAGACACACCCCTAAGAAATGACAGGGTGTCTGATGGTTCCCAGGGTATGCACTTCCCAGGCAGAGAATTAACGTATCTCCCGAGTTGATCTGCTGGAGAAAATCCTTTTCCTCTGCACTTTGCAATGTGAAGACTCCCCTAACTTAGAGAGCTCTCTGAAAGATGCCCCAGAGCCCCTCCAGCCACATTCAGGACCCCCATATTCTCTTTTTCGGCCCCAGACAGGTGCCAAGCCCACAAGAAGCCCCTGGGGACCAAATCACATGAGGCCCACTTTACCTTAAACTGCGGCTTCTCTGAACTGGTTAAGAAAACATCACTGAATAGCCTGCAGGAACAAAGCAAGATTAAAACCAGTTATTCATTCACGACCAAGGAGACAGGACATTCACAGGAACCTCTCAGATCCTTCCTCCTTCGGTGTGCGCCTGTGATTTAGTTGGTATTGGGAACTCCCCCAGAGCAAAGTCCCTCCAATGCCTCCTGTGCCACTCAGAGTCTGGGGCAGGGGGAGGGTCAGCTGCTTGGCCTGGGTGCCCAGCCAGTACGTCATGTGGCTCCAGGTCTGCCTGACTCTATCCGTCACGCCTTGCAGCCTCCCTTTCTCTGCATGGCGAAAATCATTTTAACATTTGTGACCTGAGAACATCAAAGCACTGTAAAGGCCACACAGCATATGGCCCCAGGAAATCTTCCTTCCCATGACCTCAGCACCACCTTCTAAAGCACAGTTACTCTGGGGTCCCCCTGCCGATTTCCTGGTCTCTTTTTTGCATTCATTTACATGTGTACATGTTGTTCTCCCCACCAGAATGTAAGCCTCTTGGGGGCAGGGGAAGCACTTATTAATGCTGCCAACCCCAGAGGAAGGCATTTCAGAGGTTCTTGGACACTTTCCTGGATCTGTGACCTCCTCTGGGGAGAACTCAGCCCCATTTCCTGATCCCCCAGGATTCTCATCCTTCCATGAATTCTCCTCCCAGGACCTGCCCATGAGGCCGAGGCCCTCCCCTGGCCTGATACAATCAGGTCTTTGGATGACTGTCCCCCAGGGAGTAGGCCGCGCTGCACACTCATGAAGCGTCCGGGCAGCCTTACTGACTGACCAGGGGAATCTTCAGAGTGTGCGAAGGGAACTGCCCTGGCTGGGATCTAGCCAACAAATCACACCTTCTCCTAAGAGAAAAGCAGATCCAAGCATGATGCCCTCCTCACAGGATGGCTGCCCGTGCGGGGCATGGAGAAGAGAAATAACAGGAGGAATTCTGCAATGTCCAGAGGTCAGGTCATCGAGAAGGCAGCACTGCCCCCAGAAATGCGTGTGTTTGTGTGTGTGCACGCACGTGGCATGAGCACCTGAGTATTTCATCTGCCCAATTTTCCCTGCAGCTGAGGGTATAATCTATGGCTGCCCTGGGACCCAATGCTACTCTAGGCAAACAGGGCTTGATTAAGCATAGGTGATAGCTCTTCACTGACTCTTAAAACAAGCTATACCTGAAGTAGGTCAGAACTATGTGAAAGAAAAAAAGAGACTGGATTTAGTCTTTAAAATTGGCCATCAGAGAGAAAAACCACTGGGTCTGAGGTGAGGACATGTGAGGAAACAACAGTCTCCACACAGGTCACTTCCGTTCTTACTGCCAGTGTGTGTTCTGAGAGTCTGAAAACCGTGGGTTGGTGCCCAGAATTTTCCTATAGAAACGATGTCATCAACGGCGGTTATGCTCCTGGGACAGCCCACAGAAATCTATTTCACCCACAAGTGCCTTTCTCTTCCACACATGCACTAATGATAACACCTTCTGTGGGGATGACCGAGGTGGGCTTGGATTGTGGGAACCCCCATGACACGGGGATTGCAGACCATCAAACTCTCCATCAACAATAATTTATTAAGAGCCCACTGTGTGCCCATCAGCCAGGACACATTTATGAAGCACCTACCACGTGCCAGGCACCGTGCTAAGTGCTGGAGACATAAAGAAAGGCAAAAACCGTCCCTGCTCTCAAGGAGCTCCCAGTCCAATGGAGAAGACAGCACATGAACAAACAGATACATACAGCAGACAGAAGGTGACCCTTTGGGGTGGGGACTCTAGCAGACAGACAGACCGGGAAGGGTCTCCTGTAGAAACACACACACCAGGACAGCAGCAGAGAGGTCAGGGGCTACCCCTGAATCAGCCGGGATGGGGGCCAAGAGGGTAAAGGAAAGTCTTCCATTGGTCAGAGGGCCAGGGGAGAGAGAGAGTCTGGGTTGGGGGAAGGGTCAACATTCCTGGTCCTGGTAACTTATCAGGCCTCTAAGGCCATTCGTGACCAGGTATTTAGATTGGAGATCAAGGGATATGAGAAGAGGTCAGGGCTCTTGGGAAACAAGACGTGTGACCCTCATCCTTCTCCAGGAGATCACACTGAAAGCTCTTAGTAAGTCAGAAAGCATGGCAGAACCAGGGCTGCGCACACACACACACACACATACACACACGTGTGCAGGGCTGGCTTAGGTCAGAGCAGAGTCAACAAGCATCTTGGCATAACACAGGAAGCATTTCATTCAGTGAGAAACAAGACCTGTGAGGAATTCGGATAAGCGCGGGGGGCAGATACAAACAGAGGCAAAGCACAGTGAGCAGAACCAGGAAAACAGTCTACAAGTGGCCACCACCACTGGTCAGAACCAACTAGAAATCAGAATGACCAGGGGGGTGGCTCTCAGAGCCCTCCCCTCTGGCAGAGGCCCTGTTACCTCTAATCTCAGACTGGATGTGCTCATTAGTTATACTGGCCTGGTTTTCTTTCTTTTTTAATTCTTTGTTATACAGGAGGGGCAGAGGGAGAAGACATCCTGGGAGGTAACAGTGATGTGAAGAGAAAAGATATTAATAAAGGAAGGGAGGAAGGACAGGAAGAGTCCAAGAGGCTACAAGTGGGTGGTCATGAGAATTCACTCATGCTGACACCTCCCCAAAGGAAGAAGGTGGCAGCCACGGCCCAGCCTTTTCTCACACCTGTCAGGATGTCCTGACCAGAGGGCCTACAGACCAGAGGGACCCCCCACCCCCAACCCCACCCCTCAGGCACCCTCTGGACTTACGGCATCTGTAAGAGGCGGGAGACGGTAGGCATGCCATTCTTACAGGCTTCCTGAGACAGCAGGGCTTCTAGCACAGCCACTGGAAATCAAGAGACACGTTGAGTTACACAGAACGCGCTGGCAAACCCGCTGCTATCTGACAAGTCTCTGCTGGCTGATCAATACTGTGTCAAAACGCTTCACACACACACAGATGGTGCAGGCTGGGGACAGTAACTTTGGCAGTCCTCAGCATCATCGCTGGGTGATGTAAAACACAGTGCTGGAGAGCGCATGATGAGACGAGGCAACGTTTAATGTCAGAAATAAGTTTCAAAAGTGTGCGAGGGGAGAGGAATTCAAGGCACCATTCATAAAAAAAAAACCCATTTGTTCTTTTAAAAGCAGAAGTAAATCTGATCCCCTTCTGAACTTCAAAAGCGTTTGAGAAGCCCTGCTGCCTCCACACAAGATGCGTAAGGGTGAATGAAGATTATTGCTCTCCAAATGGAACCTTCCCTTCCAGATAACGTCCTGCCCAACAAGGCCAAAGGGCAAACCACTGGTCAGCTCAGAACCCAACGGTCTTTGCAAGCCTTAGCTACTGGAAATTATAGTAACGACATTTACAGATCACTTTAAGGAACTTCTTGTTTGACCCTGACAACAGCTTTGGGGGGTGGGCTCTCCAGGCGTGACTATCTACCCCCATTCCCAGAAGGCACTCCTCCATCATTCTACCCCTTAGAATCCTTGGGGGCCTTCTCAAAGGTCAGCTCAAACTGCACCTTCTCTGATACCCCTGGCTGCTCTTGCCTCCCCCTCCCAACCATTTTATTTCAGCTTTGCAGAGACAGAGATGGAGAGAGAGAGGAAGAGAGAGAGAGATGGAGAGAGAGAGAGCGAGGAAGACAGACAGAAAAATGACAGAAAGACAGAGACAGAAAGACAAGGTCTAATAGAGAGGCAGGCACAGACAGCAAGATAGATGATAGGTAGAAAGGAAGATGGATGGATAGATATGTCTCCTCTTGTTCATCAAGGGCAGGGTCTGCTTCACTTCCATCTATACAACCCCAGTGCCTAGCACAGCGGAACACACCACAGTTGGTTGAGTACCCCCATTTTGCAGATGAGGAAACTGAGGACCTGAGAAGGGAGTGATTGGTCCAATATCACTTGGCTACTAAGCAGCAGAGCTGGCACCAGAGGCCAGGTACTCTGTCTCTCCTCTGCTCCGCTGCCTGTCTGGATGGTGCCAGGAGATCCTCGGGCCTACATCCATATTCTGCCATCACCCACGGCCAGGCACGACCCTGGCATTACAGTAGCTTTCTTCCAAAACTCTGGCCTATTTCAGATCACGGCACAAGCATTTTAGTGGGGGAGCAAAGAGTCTGGCTTTTCCTTTAGCCATTTCAGGGGATATCTCAATTCAGGGCAGCTAACAGGTTGTAAATGGTCAAGGTGTCTCAGGTGTGAGCCAAGATGACCCCAAGCGGTCTCTTTGTTTGGACTGTGAAAAGGAAGTGTGTGGCATCCCAAGCACGAGAGAAGCAGGAAGGACAAGCCCAAGAGCATACTGACCCACAGCCTCGGATGGGGCAGGAGGGAACGCATCCACTGGCACTGAGTCTGGTGGCCGACCGTAGGTCATTTCATAAAGTAAGTGTCCGAAGCAGTGGACGTCCACACTCTCCAACGTCTGCAGGGAAACAAGACAGAGCGCCCCCGTTCACTCCCGGACAGACACGAGGCTCAGTCTCCAAACTGCCCTGGGCCTCCACGCTCAGGTTTCACCACCCAGTCTGTATGATGAATGAGTCACCCCAACAGCGTGACATCCCAGCAGGCAGGTGACAAACGCCAAGGAAGCATGGAGTCAGATCAAAGGGCTCTCTCTGCACTGTCTGTGTTTGTCAGGGCGTGGCTGTCACCCACCGCCTCCCCAGCAGCCCTGGCCTGCCATCTTAACCAGCCCAGAAACCTCTCCCAGGTTCCCAAAGGGAGAAGGAAGGCCCTCGAAGCCAGCTAGTGTCGGCCCTGTCCCGGACCTTTGGGACCCTCGTCTGACACCCGAGGAAAGTGAAGCACCCAGAGGAAAGCCCAGGGCTCCTGACTGAGTCCAGTCAGGGTTCTTCCTATCACACCACACTGCCTGAGATCTCGGGGTAAGCCTGCCCCCGCCAAACCATTCCACGTGCCCTCAATACGTCCAAGGCTCTCACCCAATCCTGTGTCCTGCCCTCAAGAACGAGAATACATATTTCTACTTTGAAAAGACTCTTCCCTTTTCACTGCCATCAGCAACTTACATTAATTTTCCTAAATTGTGAGAAATAGGATCGATAGAAGGAAGGCAGCCCCAACAAGGAATTCTCAAGATCCAGCAACTGGCACATTTCTCCCTCCAGCATCACATTGGAAGAATGAAGATGGCCATAAGGAAATCCCTTTTCATGGAGGAACTTTAATGCCTAAATAACCAAGACAAAGAGGGGGACTGCAGATCATGTCACTCGGATAGAGCAGCTGTGTTTAGCCAAGGTGTTATCGACGTTGTTCAAATTATTTTACATGCATTTGTAATTTGTCCCTCCACTGCCCCTCCCCAAGGGAATCCCCTCCCTGCACACACACACACACACACACACACACACACACACACACACACACACACAAAACCCTCAAATGTTTTACATTTTAAAAAAAATCTTCTAGGCCAGAGAATCCCAGTGTTGGAGGGGAGCTCAGAGACTCAAATTGTAATGGAGCCCACATAAAGATCTCTGTAGGCCACATGTTGACTTAGAAAAACCGCAGAGGAACCTAACGCCGTTCTATTTTATTTTTAGCTATCTTGTGGAATGCTTCCCAATCACCTCTTAGTCTGGTTCGGTGTACTGGGGCTACCACCATTGGGCATCTCTGGTCTAAGCCTATATGACAGAGAATGCCTCCGGCAGCATCCCCACAAAGTGGCGATCCAGTCTGCTGAGAGGGAACCTTGCCTTCCAAGGCAGCTCAGACCATCTTGGAACAGCTCTAGCTATAAGCAGATTGTTCCGGTCAAAACCTGGCTCTATGCTCCTGACTCCTTTGCCCCATTCTGATTACAGAGGCCAACCTCTCATCTCTCTGAACTGCAACGATTCTCCAGATAGTTGAAGATGACTCTTAGATATTCCCTGAGCCTTTTCATTCTGTCCTTCCACTGACCCTAGGAAGGTATGGCCTTAGGGACCCTCACCATCCTGGACACCTTCTGTTTGTCAGATGTTAATAAGGGTTTATTTAAAGTCAATTTAAATATTGTTGTTGTTGTTGTTACAAGGGAAGGCTTGTTGAGGAAGAGGAAAAATAATCACAGCGGAAATAACTGTCATGTAAAATAAGAAGCATCAACAAAGCGAAAAAAGGTTTTAAAAGTCGACACATTTTAACACAAAAATCCACCAGGCACCTGGGAAGACGACACCAGCACCATCTTTGTCAATTCCCTTGAAGAGAAAGACGATGGATTCTTCTGCGAAATAAGGGGCTAAGTGCTCTAATGGACAAAGAACAGGGATGAAGAGGTGTCTTTATGGGATCAGCAGAGTCAAGTGACAAGCTAAAAATCTCAATATTCTCCAACAGAACCTAAAACAGGGGAGGGGGAGGATGGTCTTCTGACCCGCTTGCACATATGAAGATCCACATTCCAATATCAAAACAGCCCGTATTGAGATCCATACTCATGAAAAACTCAATGCCTTCTCATCTTCTGTCTACATGGAAAAGTTCACACAAGGGAGTAAGCCTGGTGTTCAAGCCTGGCCAGGCCCTGGTGGCCCCTGAGATGAACCGTGGGCCCTCAGTTGGCAGAAGGAGGCAATTGAATATTTTTTGCAACTTCTTTACCCTAATGTACGAGAGCCTTAAGATTATGGGAAATGAAGAATCTTGGTTCAGGGATAAAAAGTTCCTTAGGGAAAAGTCAGAAATGATGGACATAAACTGATACACACGTACACCTTCCAGAAAGTCAGGTACTATATAATCCAACACTTACAAATTATCCATATGTAAGCAACTTAATAAAAAATTAAATTAATTGCTGTCTTGGTCTCAAACACCTGCTCTTATGGAGTATGTACTCGCATATATAATACACATACACGATGCACACATACATCTACCCACACACAGGGTGTCTCAAAACATTTTAGTGCATAGTTTTCTGTTATTAAAAGCTTAAAACTGCATGAAAGAGGGACAGCTAGGCGGCACAGTGGATAGAGCACTGGGCCCTAGGGTCAGGAGGGCTGAATTCAAATTTGGCCTCAGACATGTACTAGCTGTGTGGCCCCGGGCAAGTCACTTAACCCCAATTGCCTCCAAAAACCAACCAAACAAAAAAACTGCGTGAAGGTTTTTGCGACACCCTGTACATAGGTTTACACACATAATATACAGTTGGGTTCCTATTGGGAAACAGCCCTAAAATACAGTAATAAGTGAAAAGCCATAAAAACTTAGACCGTGAAAGGTGGAAGGACAAACATGGTGACCTGTTTACAATCATGACTTAGACACTGAGTCATAATTTAAAATACTATGACCTATGCAAACAATGATAAGAATATTGTGACCCACATGTGACCGCTACATGCTCCAAACACAAACCTATGTTTGGACACAACATTGGCTTAACTCTCAAGCTCATTTACTAAGCAGAAAACCAAAAAATCAGTAGTGATGTACTCTGGCTCCTTCTGCCTTGGTCTGTTTTCTATAATTACCACAGGGATTTGGGGGTTCTTTAGTGGGGATCCACAGAACTGTCTGACTGCCGCCCAGACTAAAGATCACCCCTGTTTATAAGTATTCATGATGATTGATCAAACTGCTGCCTCTAATCGGTCTAGAGCTCCTTGGCCTCTTCCTTTGGTATCAAAAGAACACCCCACAGTCCTGGGGGAGGTAGAGGCCCCCTAGGTGGGGGAATTCCAGACCTTACATATACACTTGCAGAGGACACATACATAAATGCGTATGTATGTAGATATTTGTGTGTGTGTGTGTGCGCATAAAATTATCATTTCTATCACATATAATAATTCATCATCGCCATTCACAACCTCTGTCTATAGATTTATGAGCGGCAGTGCTTTGAAAATCTAAACTCAGAAGAGATGGGCCTTTGGGATCATTTTAGTTCCACCCCCTCATTTTACAGATAAAGAAATTCAGGCCCATGGACATTCAATGACTTGCCCAAAGTCTAATGGTTATGAAGTAGCAGAGATGGAATTTGGACCCTGGACCTTCTGACTTCCCTCCCAGGGTTCTTCCCATAACAGCTTAAACTAACCCATTCTGCCCCTACCTGGACCCTTCTGCCTAGAATGGGGTAAGCTCTCAAGATAGCAAAGGGGGCGGAGGCCGGAGGAAAGAATATGTCAACTCCACTATATTTTAAGCAAAAATTAAACACTCCTTACCTCTAATATCTGTCGTCCAAATGTTTTTATCTGCTGGAGTTCAAGACCCTGAATCTTCTTAGGGTTGCAGTATTTCTTCAGGAACGGGTCTTTTGGCTTCGCCTTTGAAAAAGACCAAATAAAAGATAGCACCTTACGCCCACTGAACCAGGGTCCGGTTCAACGTCAGAAGGCCTGCTGGAAAACAGGCGCGATAGGAACTGCAAGCTCCTCAGAGAGCAAAGAGAGCTACAGAATGTCACAAAGATCCTAAGAAACGCTGACCCAGCAGTACGGCAGCAACTCTATCCTCAAAGGTCATGAAAAGGAAACGTGCATTCACGGATCCGAAAACATTCATTTATTTGCAATATTTGTCCAAGCTGGAAGCTACCTGTATGTCCAGTGGTTGGAGGATGGCTGAATAAGTCTGGTCTATTCAATGCATTTAATAGGCCAATGGTATGAATGGCAAATAGGAAGACAACAAGGCTCTCTGGGAATACAAGAGATAAAAAACAGACCCACTCACACACACACTGGCCAGCAGATACTCCGTGTTTGAAAGTGGGTGCTAGACAGACTTGTTTTGGTTTTTTTTGGGGGGGGGATTATTCATTTTTTAGGTTTCATTTTGCTGAAATGTGGTACATTGGATTCATTTCTCTCCTCCTCACTAATTCAGATAAACCCAGCTCCAGTAAGGGGGCTGGGCTGGACAGTTACCCCTAAGTTTGGTTCCACCACCGGTTAACTGGGGTCTATGTCGTTTGTTTGTTTGAAGCATCAGGAATCCAGAGCTGAGACAAGTCTGGAGAGCAAAGGAAAGAGTAGTGCTTGGTTGTCTGGCTTTAGAATCAGAACCACCTGATGCACTTAGGAGAACGAGGCCGACCGGGCCGGGCCTTAGCCCCCACACACGTCTGGCTGCAGGCTTGGGCTGGCGCCTTGCTACCCAAAGCCCACACATGTCATGTCACAGGTGACAACCTGGCATGTCATGAAACATACTGACGATTCTCCTGTGTATGCTGGGGGTGGGAGGGGGAGCAGAGGAGAGCAGGGGGCCAAAGGGGGAGGGAAGTATTCTGGAAACAATGGTAGTTTTTCTATGGTGAAATCAAAAAGTTCTGGGCCTTCCACCACCCCACTGCCAGCTCAAAGGCCCTGCCTCTAAGGTGAAGGTCAGGTGGACAAATCAGATGCTGGACAACTTGTAACAGCACTAACGACTCACCTTTGGGGACGGCTTTAAAGTTTACTAAATGCTCTCCCCACATTATCTCACTGGAGCCTCATGAGAACCTTGTAGAGCAGAAGGGATCATGCCCATTTTGCCGATGAGAAGACTGAGCCTCAGAGAAGCTGCCCCCCAGTAATACAACCACAGTACCACAGGCAGGATTTGCATCTAGGACTCTGCCTCATTTCTTTCCAACCTCCCCCCGGGCTCATCCAGGTACCTTGTAGATGAGGTCCTTTAGCGTTCCTTTTTCATTAAAGGTCCTAATGACCAAGGCGGAGGATTCGCTGGCCGTGGCAAAGGTGACTCGGTAGATGTACGGGTGCTGCCAAAACAAAGAACACCTATTAGCTGTGTGCAGATGGCTGCCAGGCCATCTCAACAGTCGGCGTTTGCCCTCTCCGATCTCCATCAAGGCGGTTTCACAAGAAACTTCTCCACTCTTTATAACCAAATCATCCAGAGTTCACTCACTGAGCACGTCCTGTGTGCCATGCTCCCTGGCCTCTGGAGCTTCCATAACCCTCCCACCCCCCCAACCATACCACCCTGAGCCTACATCCTCTCTCCAACAGCTTGTTTGTGCAGAGAAAAGAAAGTGAAGCATTTATTAAGCACCTACGCTCTGCCAGGCTGGGGAGAATATCCCTTAAACATTCAGCAGAGCCCAGCTGTCTGGTGGCAAAGTCACTCTGGGGAGCGCCTTTCACCTCGGGATAAGGAGAGACCAAGCCACCCTGGGAAGGGCGATGGATGACGGAGGCGCGGCTGTGCCAGGGAACCTGCTTCCCCAGAACCCGTTCAGGAGCCACGTCTCCCTCTGCTCCTCTGTGGTCCCTCCCCCAACATGCACAGCTCAGAGGAAGCAGAGGAGGGCCCACTCCCTCCCTGCTCCCACTGGGTTTGTCCCCCCCAGTGCAGGCCGGGCCGCACATGAGGCTCAGGTGCCCCATGGAGCAGGCTCTCCAGTAGGCTTCATGCCCTTTCTCTTGGAGGTAGCACAATGCATGACTCACATCGTGCCTACAGTGCCAGTGAAGCTAGGGGTGATGGGTCAGGGGGAGAGAGTGCTAAGTAAGCAGGTCCCCAGAGAATGAGCTACAAAGAGTCCTTGGGGAACCCGGAACCCCAATTCAGTTAGAAGGAAATACTGGCTCCAGGCAGATGCTACAACACCACCCTCTCTAAGAACACAATGAGAATTCAGAGCTATGGGGCAGGACCAGCTCTGGGGAGTGATGAGGGGGCAGGGAAGGGAGGTATTGCTCAGGATATCATTCTAAGATTTGTATAAGGACGCAAAGACAGAGGGACCCTGCGTCTCCCCTCCCCTCCTCTCCCGGTATGAGAGACTCACTTCATCTTTAAAATGGCCTCCATTTTGTAGTGAAACAAGCAATCACCTTTACTTTCCCCACCCCCCCTTCACCCCAAGTTCATTTTTGCCCTTCCCGAGGACCCCTGCCACACAGACAACACTAAGCTGCCTTGCTCTCCCTGCCAAGGACAGCGACAGCTTAGCAAGGCCTTCAAGGGCAGCCTCCCTCCACCACTGTGTTCCTCTACTACACACCTGCTTGCTCCAGGCCTAAGTTGGTAGGAACCTTAGGTCACCTGGCTGTCAATCAATCAATCTCACCCTTTCATGTCCTGTAATAAAAATAAAGCTTCTCTATTTGACTTCTGCCCAAAAGCTGGTGAACCGTGGCCCTTTGGTCATGACAGGTTCAAGCAGCTTCTGCTCACCACTGTCAAAATTGCTGCCATATTGCAAAAGTAGAATAAGTTTGTAAATGATATTAGACAACTCCTCGATTCATCTTCCCTTATATCGCAGGACGCGTGAAGGCACTGCAGGAGTCAATCCAACCCAATCCAGCACCAGCACCAAGTATGGAGAGCTTCCAGCCAGGGATACAGAGTCAAGAGCAGAATGATGCCGGCCCTCCAAAAGCTCATCTCCCACTCGGGGAAAACTACGTGTCTAAAGAGGAGTGAATACCTTTAGACGTGTAATATTATATAGACGAAGTCATCCTAGGAGGGGCAGGGCAGTGGGCAAAGCCCCATCTTCCAGGGGTGACACACCTTGAAGTTCGGCTGAGGGGAGAGGCAGAGCATTGTGGGCATGGCAGACAGGCCACGCATAGATGTGGAGGCGGGAGATGGAATAGAACATCCCGGGAATGGAATAAGTGAGTGTTGGGAAGGCCTGGGGGCAGGACAGTGCGGGGAGGGGTAAGTAAAATCAGTTGTGAAGGTGGGCTGGGCTGAGAGTGTGAGGGGCTTTTGATGCCAGAGAAGAGACTGTAATTTAACTCAGGGACAAGAGGGAGTTCCTTGTGCTCCTACAGCAGGGGTGTCACAGTCAGGCAGAGGAAGCCCCTTGGCCTTAACCCTTGTAGTAATGGGGGGGAGGTGGGGAAAGCTATAGCTTGGGGATTTAGAGCCACACCCATTTAAGGAATCTGGCTGCTGACAACAGCCTTGGAGAAGGAACCAATCCAAGGACACACACCACCCCACATTGCTTACTCACCCACCAACACCATTAAAAACCTGGTTCTCCTGCCTCATCCAAATAGCAGCCAGGCCACCACATGGAAAAGCTGACAGTAACACTAAAGGTCATTTTATTCCTTGCCTCATTTTTAAATAAAGCACACAAGCCACAGATCAGGAAGGCCAGCAGCGCTAACTCAAGGGCCTAAATGAGCCCACACACATCTGGCAACGCGATCCCAAGTGCCTGGGTTACTAAAGGCTGCCTCCGAAAAAGACCCTCTGGCTTCAACCCAGTATACCATGACCATTCCCATCACGGCAAAACATTTCCCACCCAGGGAACCTCTATGATGATCTTTGCCCCCAGAAGCGGGTTTTTCTGCCCCCTCCTTCGCTTGTCCCCATCAGGCACCAGGCAGAGATGAGGCTGGCTTTGGCTTTCCAGTGTTTGCTTAAAACGAAAAATAATCCTAGAACAGGGTCCACCTGCCTGGCCCTGGTTTATCAGCTCAGGTTTGGGCACAGAGACCTATGTCATTTCATCTTCCCTAGATTTTTAATGGAAACGCTTCTAGATCTCTTCTTATGACCTGAGATTCCAAGCAGCCAGGCCGGGAATTTGATATCAGCAGCTTCGGACGAGCTACTCACCAAACAGGAAGGAAGGAGTCTGATGATCCACTGAAAATCCTTATCTGACAGGTACTTGTCAGGGCCAAGGTCAGCCTGGAGGGGCAGAGAACAAGGAAACATCTGAGCCCGGCCTGGGGCTCAAGGAGCAGAAGAAGGTCCCCACTGGGACCCAACTTTTATGACATGTATCCAAACATATTCATAGAACCCGGAGGATGAACACCAGCAGTGGTGTAATTTTTAAGAATTAAGGCATTTTCTTAATGAAACAAACCTCAGAGTGGCAACTCTGAAAAAGCCACCTTGGGGAACCACTTCCCTCTTTCAGATCACCAAGGAGCTGGCCCACCACCTACTCAACAGTTATGCAGCACTTTAGGCACTAAAACTTTGGGGATGACCTGGATTATCTCATTTAATCCTCACAACAACCCAGGAGGCAGGTGCTATGTGGCAGGGGACCCGCCCTGGGTCACACAGCTAATAAGTGCCAAAGGGTGTGTGGTCCAGTGGGAAGCACTCAGGGCTCCAACACATTTCACAATGTGTGACCCTGGGAGGTTACTTCCACTCCTGGGGCCTCCGTTTCCTTACTGGTAAAAGGAGGAAGTTGGGTGAGATGACCACTAAAGTCCTTTCCAGCTAGACCACAATCTATACACCTAGGTTCTTAGGATGACTTGGAATAATTAATAAATAAACCAACTTCTAGGGGCTGAGAAGGCCCGAAGAGACAGAAGGCATCATTTCCAAGGACAATATATCGTCCTTGTTGAGCCTTAAAAAAAACCCATCGTTCTCAAAGACCCAGGAAGAGCCGTGACCGACCGAACCCCCGCGTACCCAGCTTAGCACGAGGCGCTCTTTAGGCTGGTTCTTAGTCTTCATTAAGAAATACCTCTTCCGTATCCTCCAACCTGGTACAAGAGCAGAGGGACCATCAACAAGGCATTTTTTTAAAAGAGAAAAAAGCACAGACATGATCAAAACGATAATATTCCAGAATTTTTTTCTTGGTCTGAATTCATGCTGATTTTATTTCCTCGTTATTTTTTTTTTAAAAGAAGGTCCTCAATCTTAGGTAGAAATAAATACCAGGACGCCCAATAAAGCCATTACTTCATCTTGTTAGCATTCCTGAGGCTCAGTTAAGGGCACTCAAAGAACAAAGAACTTTGTCTGGGGGCCTTGACTGGAAGCCCCATTCTATGCTTGGTCTAGAGCAGAGGCTTGGAATTTGTAATCTGCGAACTTATTTTTTAAAAGTACTAGCATATCTGAAGGTATCTGGACAAAGTTTAATGGAACTAGTTTCCTTTGTAATCCTACGGATTTTATCTTGTGCCCTTAACACCACTGTTCTGAGAATAAGGCTTTACCAAGCTGCCCAAAGGGTCCTGGACACACTAAGGTCGAGAAGCCTGGTTCTAGAGGCTCCAAGATGGTGGAGTCCTATTAAAGTCTATGTGCCTCCTGCAGAACTTCCCTGCCTGGGCCTACAACCCACAATGCATGCATGCTTGCTCCTTGGGACTTAGACAATGAATGGAACGAAGAACTATTATGGCTGACCATTATGGATGAATGAGAATGCCCAGGGACTGCCCAAGACCAATGGTACCCCCCCCATCCCCTTTGGCCAGGACGGTTTTTCATTTCAGGGGGCCAGATCTGTGATTTCATTGGTCTAGAAGCTCCCTCCACCCAGTCCAGATGTGACCTACTCTGCAGCTCATACAGTTACCTGGGCTAACTGGTGGCTAGTTTGAGAGCTATACCTGGAGTCTGGAAGACCTGAGTTCAAATCTGGCCTCCTGCACTTACTGGCTGTGTGACCCTGGGCAAGTCACTTAACCTCTATCTGCCTCAATTTCCACAACTGTAAAACAAGGATAACGACAGCACCTACCTCCTGGGGTTGTTGTGAGGATCAAATGAGATAATATTTGTAAACAGTTTTAGCACAGTGCCTGGTATATAGTAAGTGCTTAATAAATGCTTATTCCCTTCCTCCTGGGGGCCTGAGAACTGAAATGACTTGTTCAGGGTCACACAGCCTCTATGTGTCAGAGGCAGGGCTCGAACTCAGGGTTTCCTGATTCTGAGGCAGGTTCTACCCGTTCATCCATGCCTGAGCTGCCAAAAGTCAAAGAAGCCTCCACAGGCTTGGAAGGCAAGTCTCTAAAAACAAGCAAACAAAACCACCACAATATGGCTCATTTAAAAACTCCTTCCAAGGTGCCAGATCTGCCATTTTGTCGGCATGAGGAATTCCCTTTGTCAGCACAGGAGGACCTCAGACCTTTCACTGAAGTGAAGGGTCACAAATGCTGCACTGAACACAGGAGCTCCTGACGCTGAGTTCAGGACCTGGTCATGCCCCTGAGCTCCGAGGCCTGGGGGCTTCTGAAAGTCACCCCGGAGCTTGGCAGCCTCTGAGCATCTGGGGCTTCTCACCTATATCTCTCAATGGTTCCACGACCTCCCACTTTGGCTCGGATCGAAAGAACATCGAAACCTGCTGCAAGGCAATTTCTGTAAAGACATTTTATAGGCCCGTTAGTGAAACAGGTCCCGTACCACAAACACCTATTTTCATAAATTCATTTCACTTTAAAGCTTACAAAGCCATCAACATTTTGTGTGGCTCTTTCCATACAAAGGCAGCAAAGTGTAAGCACCAAGGAAGCTGAGGCTCTGATGTGCCCAGTCACACACAGCAACTGTCCAAGCTAGAACACAAGCCCCTCTACTGCCTCTTCCTGCAATACCCTGCTGCCTCTCATCTGACCAAGTGTTTCAGGCCAAAGGAGCTCAGCTTACCAATGAAATTCTCACACTGTAGGCCCTTTCCATTTAAAAAGTGATAGGAAAAAAAATACTTTATTACTACTATACAGTTTAAGCTCTTTCAGCAAGTACATGCTGACCTGGGCTGTACATGTGACATGGAAAACAGGCACATTATAGAGGGACAGGATTCACGTAGGGAGGAAGGGGAAATCAGGGAAGCTTCACAGTGGAGGTGGTATCTGAACCGAGCCTCGAAGGAGGAGATGAGGACACAGTGCATTCCAGGCATGCACCGCAGGGAAGGCTCAAGGGAATCCACAAGAGGTGTGGAGTTCAGGGGACAGCAGGAAGCGTGGCGTTCACAAAGGATTGTGATAGGACAGGTAGGAAGGTGGTGGAGAGGCAGATTATGGAGGGCCTCGAATGCAGGGTTTGGTTTGATCCTACGGGCAGCGGGTGGCAAGCTGCTGAAAGCTCCAAGTAGGGCAGTGACAGGGTCGGACCTGAGCTGTAGGAGCCGACCTGGGCAGCTGTGGTGGAGACTGAGAGAAGAGAGAGAAGACCCATTGAGCTACGAGCTGGCGACCCAATGGAAAAGGGAAATAAGGTGAGACGGCGGGTGCGCAGTGCTGGCCACCTGACTCATCACTTCCTCTCCTCCATGCTCCCTGGTCATCTCTAATAACACCGTCTCGAGCTGCAGCCGAGAAGAAGTCTGGCTCAAGGGCCTGGCTGGAGTCAGAGGGCTCCCTACTGGCCAGGAACCAGACTGCCCAAGGCCCATCTCCACTGAACACAGATTTAACGCTGGTAGTATGAGCAAGATGGCCATCTTGGGTGCTCCACGGCGTTCAGAGACACAGAAGAGGTATACAGCAAACAGAAACCTCACAGCCCAGGAAAACTGACTGGATTAAAAATAAGGGGAGGCCAGACAGTCCTACAAATGCCTGGTCATCCAAACCAGGCCCCCCTGCTGGCTTCTGGGGCAATCTCCCATTTCCAAGGACAATGAGAAGAGGAGTGTTGTTAAAGTACATCATCGAAGCCGCTGCATCTTTCTTTTCTGGGGGAATAAAACATGTTTAATTCATTACTCCCCCTCACCACACTTGAAGGCATGAAACCATTCCAGGGTAGGATGGCATAGTGGAAAGAGCATTGGCTCCAGAGTCGGGGGACTTGGGTTCAAATTCTGCCTCCACCTCCCATGCTTACTAGTTGGATGACCTTGCAAGTCACTCACCTGCCTGCGGCTCTTTCCTTATCTGCAAAATGAAGGGCTAGCCTATAGATCATCCATTAGGAGAGCCTTTTCAGCTCCAGACAGAGGATCTGGTTTACTGGTGGAAGTTATCAACCTTCCAAAATCACTATGGAATTTTCCTTTCCTCAGTCTGTGAAATTCCAGAGAACAGGCAAGGTATTATTAGAAGAATAGCAAAAATGGACTCCAGGTAAGGAATGACCCTCCCGGTATACCCCTCCCCCAGAAGAAGGAGAATAATTACAGTTTGGCAGCCACGTTATTCTGACACCAATTTGGAGCAGCCATTAAGAGCTGAGAGCTGGGAGTCGATAAAGCACTCTGATAAAGACTTGTAATTGTCTCCACAGGTAAGACAAGATTCACAGAAAGAGAAAGGTCCCGTGGATTACTGACAATTCCATGAATATTTATTCTGATTACATGAAGTGTGATGAACCATTGGAATGTCATCTAACCTGTCAGGAACTCTATAAACTTTAAACAGCAAAAACCTTACACCTACTCTAATTAATATTGGTGTGAAATGTTTCTGGTATTTCCATACTCATATTAAATTTAAACCATCTGCTATTTTAAAATAAATTACTTAAGTGTGAATGATTCATCCCAATTCAGGGAAGGATTATTCAAAGATCTCTCTGCCAAGGGACCACAGTGTGGCTGTGCACAGACCCACAGAGTACACGTTTATTGACTGAGAAGCTCACTTACCTCCTAGGCTACAGACAGAACCTCTTAGCTCATTACAAAAAGGGGGGGGCACGGAAACTGATTTCTTGACTTTAAGAGCCTGAGAAATTCAAGAAAACTCCCTTTCTATGCTGTGTGGGTATGTGAGTATGCAAACTGCAGCATTTTTTCACTCCAGTAGAGCTCAGTTCCTTGAAAGGGGGCTCTACCGGGTGATATAAAAGCCACAAATATTTGCCAAGTTCTGCCATTTCCCCCTGCTGGGTTAAGTCCTGTTCTCTGTGAGATACAAGGTTATCATCTTTCCCTCCCTCCTCCCACCTCTCAATTCAAAGGTAATGAGGACAGAAAGTAGGAGAAACATTCTTACCATTTTCTCAAAGGCCAGAATCACAGGATCAAGACAGAGTTCAAGAAAAACTCTGCAACATCCACGTTCCTCTCTCCTCTGCCCTCCCAAAGCCAAAGTATCTTTGGGTTGAGAGACCAGTATGTCCCAGGAGTGGAGGAAAAAAGGCAGATGACTTTCCTGGAATCTGTGAAGGTCAGAAGTCACTCCCTCCAGCTCTGGCCTAGGATGGCTTTATCAAGGGACTGCATCTTGATATCGTGGTATCGCCTCTGGGGGGGATCAGCCCTTATGACTACTCCAGTGGTAGAGAGGTAAAGGTCCTCCCAGTCAAGGGTCACCAGATTTGAATCATGTCACTGATCTCTCGGCCTCCCGTAGGGGAGGACCACACTGACTCTTTTTCTTTGCTAACTCCCCGATACACACAGTAGACAGAATATTCCCCAGACTGGGCACACTCAACAAATGCCTGGCTGCCTCAGGAGAGGACCCAAGTCAGGAAATCCAGAGCAAAGTATTAAATTTCATCCTCTGTCTTCCTACTGAGCTCCCGCATTCCATCTCCAAAGACGGCAGCTCCCCCAATGAGCACAAGTCTTTGAAAGCTAATGTCGAAGCACACCAGGGTGACTGAAAAACAGAATGAAGCTTCCTGGAACTGGCCAGCTGAAGGCAGACCTCTAATCTAATCTACAGCATCACCAGAAACTGGAATGTTATCACATTTGCACATCAGACTTGGGCCCTTGGCCTTTCCCAAATTCCATGCATTTTATCCTATAGGAGTTTATGTGCATGAGACCAACATACACGGCTCCTCTGGTCCTTCCCAACCCTCAGCCTCACCTCCCGTACTGGAAGTCCTGAGGGCTCCGTGTAGATGCTGAAAATATCTTAGCCCAGATAACCCAAGACGGTTAGGACCGAAAAGAAAGGCCCCACAGTGATTTAGATATTTAGAGTAACACTTTTTGTAGGAGCAAAGAACTAGAAACAAAGCAGATGCCCATTGACTGCAGAATGGCTAAACAAATTAGATGTGAATGTGTCAGAATATGCCATGCTCTAGGAAGTGACATCTAGGATGAGAAAAGCATGGGAAGACTTACATGAGCTGATGCAAAGTGAAGTCAGCAGAACCAGGAGGACAGTGCACACAAGGACCCCAGCAATGTGAATGAAGGGCACAACAAAGCAACAGAAAATGAATGGCATGAAATCATGATGACCAAGCCTGGCCCCAAAGGCAAGGCATAAGAAGAGGCCTCTGCTGGCTGCTGGTGTGGGGGAGAGGGGTGCTGGGAATTCTGCCTATGGAATACTGCCAGATTTTTTTTTTAAATCTTGCTTAGTTTTGCTAAAGTTTTTGCTTCTTTGTCATAAGGGATGGATCTCTGGGACAGCAAAGGGGAAAGGATGCATTAGGGAATGCCAATGATTTAAAATAAAAGATATCAATAAAAGCTTATTAAAAATGAACACTAAAATAAAGACATAGTAGCTCCTAAAAGGGATGAGATAGGAGGTCTGGCTGAGCAGCTGCAGAAAAAACCCCTACACCCAGACCTGCCCACAGGGCTTCTATGGTGTTGCTGGATAAGGCACATCCTGGGGCGTGTTCATTGAACACCAACTCCATTCTCCCCACACCTCTTACTCTCCCAGGTCTGCCCACCATGGTCTACAGTTAAACATGGAGGACAGAAGAGAATGCTGGACTTGGGAATCAGGAAGACCTATCTCCAGACGTGTGACCCTGGGCAAGTTACTTAACCTGTTTGTCTCACTTTCCTCAACTGCAAAATGGGGATAATAATAGCACCTAAGGTTGTTGTGAGTTTCAAGTGAGATAATTACTGTAAAGCACTTAGCATAGTGCTAAGTAGCACAGAGTAAGCACTATATAAATTTTAGCTATTAGCTCCCACCTCCTAGATCAGGCATGTACAGTGCTTTGCAAACTCTAAAGTGCTGTCAGGGGTCCTTTTCTGCCATGATGCCTTCAGAGCCACAATGGTAGGGCTCAAAGCCTGAAATGAGGCACACCTGTGCTATCAACACCCCGCACCCTGGAAAGGACCGGGGGCAGAGGCGTGCATGCATGATCAAATCCAAGAGGGAGGGAAGGGCTCCTGAAACCCTTCTCAGGGTGGCAAGGGAGCGCTGAACTTCCCAAGGATCGGAGTGGGGGAGAAAGAAGGCTGATATTTTCATTATCAGGGAGATCAGCATATCATTGACCAGGCTGGGCACCGAGATAGTGAGCGGCTTACAAGGTGATGAAACACAAGGTACAACCGCCCACAGGAGCCAACAGATGGTGCAACAGGCCCATCACCACAAATGCTTGTGTTTCCCTTTTCTCCACCTACTGGTAAGCTAGGGTCAGAGAGCAAGCTCCGGGGTGCTCCATTTCCTCCCACAGGCCTTAGTTAGCCTCTCTCAAATGGAGGAAAATGCCCTGCTCCATGGCAGGTGAATTTTACTAAGACTCTTGTCCAAACGGTGGCTTCCAGCCACTTACAAGAGCTCAGCAGAGGCTTTCGATGACCCTCATCATCCTTCTCACAGGGCCCCAGGCTCCTGGCTCCTTTCTCTAACTCCCTGTGGTGGAGAGGAGGATGGAGAGGGCCTGAGACAATAATGAAGTGGGTGTGAGTACGTGGGGGTGTGTGCATGCTTTTGAGTGTGAGCACGTGTGCAAGTATATATGTGTGTGTGAGTGTGGATGTGTGTGTGTGTGTGTGTGTGTGTGTGTGTGTGTGCATGTGTGTGTAATGCCAAAAAGGACTGCAAAGGCTGCTCAAGTTCCCCAGCCCCGATTTTCAACTTGAGAAGAGCTGTCCCCTCTGGCAGGGCCAGCTCTTCCCACCTCTGGGTCTCAGCTCTCTGTGATCCCCCGGGTGCCCTGCAGGCCTGACTTCCTCACCTCAGATCCTACCTCCCCTGTCAGTCAGAATGGATCCTGATGTGGCCTCGAGGAGACCACCAGGCTACAGCTACGGCTCTGGAGGCTGCTGGCCATTCTGCTGCATTGAGTGGGGAGTGGAATAAATGCTTAAGCACTTACTACCACCAGGCACCAGGCTAAGCTCTGTACAAACATCATCTCATCTGATCCTCGCAACAACCTTGAGAGGTAGGTGCTATTATTATCCCCACTTCACAGCTAAGGAAACTGAGGCAGACAGAGGTTAAGTGCCTGAGGCTAGATTTGAACTCGGGCTCCATATCCAGAGCTCCATCCACTGAGCCACCTAACTGCTGGTGAAGAAAAACCAACAAAACCATCGATTTCATAACTCAAGGCTAATGTGGTTTCCGAATTGGCTTTGTGTGTCCCCTCCCCCTCATCTCCTAAATGTAATTTTATTTGACCCCTGTATGACTCTTCAAACTGATGGGCCGATTCTCAACCAGGAGTGGGACGCAGGAGTGTAATGTGCTCTCTTCTCTAAACTATCGATAATATAGTGATGGACTATATGACATCTGTGTGACATCTGTATGACTATCAACCTCCCCATCTGTGAAAGAGGAACAAAACCTCTCTCCTCTGTCATAAGAGAATATTATCTGAGGATTCCATTACTTATTAAACTAAAGACTGAGATCCTCACAATCACTTTTCACCACAGTGGTGAAATAAGCAAATCAATAAGTAAGTCTTGTTTTCTAGTTCCAGGCCAATTTGATAAATATTCACCGAGCGCAAGGCAGAAGGATCATAACAGAAAAGAACACGGAGCCTTGAGCCCACTGGAGAGAGAAGACATGAACCTACGTAAGACACTCCAGAGAGTCGTCTGAACTCACTGGAATGTGACACAGAGTCCATGAAAGGGACCAGGGCCAAACTGGGCTGGAAGGCCTACCTGTGGAGGCCATCTTGCGGAGGGCCTTTGCCAGGCCAAGAGTTGGGAGCCATGGAAGGATTCTGAGGAGGAGAGTTGGCATGATGTTGGCAAGCGAGCAAAGGACTGATTAGATTAGGAGGATAGATGAGTGACTTAGAGACAGCTCAAAGAAGAGGCATTGAACACCTGAGCGAAGGTGGTGGCAGCAAACAAGAAGGGGGCAGAGAGACAACGTGAGCTTGGGTAAGCCAAATCGACAGGACCGGTTTATTAACAAAATCACATTAGACATTCTTGGCCCTCGCTCCCACGATCGTTGGTTTTTGTTTTTTAAACAAACAGGCCACAGCTAAGCATTATTTACCAGTTCATCTGCAACATTTTCTGGTATTTTATCACGGTGATCACTCCAAGGGCACAGACTTTATGAAATTTTAATAACTTGCTTGTTGACATCTGGTGCCATCATGTTGTTACTCTGCATTATCCCTTTGCACCCATCAGAGAAGCCCTTTTAAGATCAAATGTTTTACTAGGGCCTCTGCTCCAGCGAAGATATGAAAAAAAGCTGCTCTCCTTAGGCTGGTGTTTGGCACAGACTGATTTCAGGGAGGAGATAAGCAAAGGTCAGAATGGGGACACTAGATAGCTTCCCAGCCCTCCTCTTTGTTTTTTGTTTTTTGCTTTTTTTGGTGAGGCAGTTGGGGTTAAGTGACTTGCCCAGGGTCACACAGCTAGTAAGTGTCAAGTGTCTGAGACCACATTTGAAACTCAGGTCCTTCTGACTCCAAGGTGGGAACTTTATCCACTGTGCCAACTAGCTGCCCCGAAGTCCCTTTTAAGTAGACTTCTTAGCAATACCCACATTTAAAAATGTCAGTCTACAAGGCCATTGCCAAGCTAAATGTAAATGCTTTTTAATTAGCTGCCATTTTGAACTGTTCACAGCTCTGCTGTTACTGGATATGACAGAGATGTAACACACGCAACAAATACGTTCGTACCCTTTAAGAAGACTTGATTCTCCCCTGTCCTACTGAAATGCCTTAACACAGCATAAAAGTGACCCTGAGATCTTGAAGAGTTTGTTCTCAAAGCAATGAATTCTCGCAGCCCACTCACTCATGAAGCCTTACTTTAAGGCAAGGAGGGACAATCTGATAGATATCAAAGGAAGGCACCTACATACCCAATACAAAATCAGTATTGATGGAAGTAATAATGCTCCAGAATCTACACACAGGTAAAAGTAATGCATAGGAGGCATGAGCATTTACAGAAATCAATTTTCCCTTTATGTATCTGTAGTGCAGAGCTAAAAGGAAATAAATCCACTCCCCTAAGCACTCCCCCCAACCCCAGCTGAAAATCAAGGATACTTAAATGAAACAAACATTGAATAATTTAAAAGTCCAAGTTCTTTCTCACCCAGACTTCTGCTTTTCTCTTTCTATATATAACACTGTCTCTTCCCTCTTATTTGTAACTGTTTCTTAAAGGTTCTGGTTGGCTGCACTTACCGGTATAATTTGCAGAATAGTTGCTGGGGTCTAAAAATTTCTTCACCAGCTCACAGTTGGACAGGATATGATTTGTGGTGATCACGTTGAGATAGTTCTGGAGGCCTTTCTGTCGTTCAGCTATGAACTCACGATCCATGTTGCCAATCAATTTTTTGGGAGGAAGAGGTAGGCTTAGACCTGAAATCTTGGGAAAAAAAAAACCAAAGATAAAAATATTATATCCCCAACCTTCCTCACTAACAAGGTTAAGTAACTAACTTGGCGCCTTATCAATACGGTGCATGGCATTGCCAGCCCCCTCATTCCACAGATGAGAAACTGAGGCCCAGAGCGTGGAAATGACTGGTCCTCAGTGAATCCATGGGTGTCTCTGCAATACACTGAGATCTGTTCTCCAAAAGTTTTCAAGTTTAAAATTAGGATCACGAAGGTTGTACAACCTTCTACTTCTTACTGAGATAACAGATGTAAAGTGCTTTGGAAACCTTTGAAGTGCTATATAAATACTAGTTGTTATTATTATTGATAATAATAATCATATCCTTTCACCTATTATTGGGAACATTCCCTAAGAATTATATATTTTTTTAAAAGTAGAGCTAGTTCAAGGATGTGTGTCCTCTGTAACCACAACAACAAAAAAATCCCAACATCCAGAACACAATAAAAATAGCTAACATATAGGAACGGCTGAAGAAACTGAGGCACGTTAATGTAGTAAGACGTGAAGAAAATGGATTGAGGTGAGAAAAAGAACATCAATAACACATCGAAAATTTAAATTTGTTTTTTTTTTAACAACAAAAACTCTATCTTGTCTCCCTCGTACCTCATCCCACCCTCTAACCCATCGAAAAAGAAAAACAAAGCCATGCACCGGCCGCGCCCAGCACAGATCAGCTCACCCCCTGAGTCCTCCAGCCCTCTGTCAGGAGGTAGGGACCCGTCACTGCCTCAAACAGAGGCCCTACGCGTTTCTAAGTCACTTGTTTTTAACAGTGTTGCTATTACTGTGGTAACAGTTCTCCCGGCTCTGCTCATCTCACTCCGCATCAGTTCATACAAGTCTTCCCAGCGTTTTTTTTTTTAAGGGAACTGAAGGAAAATATAATGTGTAGAAGGGGATACAAATGCAGCAATTTACTGACTACTACACTAGACTTTATGTATGCGTTGGCTGGCTGGCTACTGTTCTTCATTCTCAGAGAGAATGTGTTGGGGTCAAGGTACAGCATGCCCGATTGTGGCTGATCAGACCAATACTCACTTCGAAGGCTCTGCCGCTGATCAGGCACAAATAGTCCACGTGTACACACACACACACACACACACACACACACACACAAACACTGTGTCCAAAAAGTCTTAATGCATATAACAGTTCACAGTTTTTTATGCAATTTTCTTTCCTAATTTTGCATCTCAAAATATGTGTGATTTGTGTTTTGTGATAGTTATTAACTTCATGATTAAAAACTATTTAAAAAAATAAATATGGAAAGACTTATGAGAGATGAAGTGAAGAGAACAGTTGAAGAAGCAGTCCACCCCGGCTATCAATGTCAAAGGATTCTACCCACCCCAATACAGAGATGAATGGGCAAAGAAAACAGGACACACAAGGCAGGGAGTAAATGAAGATTGTTAGTTTTTGCACGGTTACGTTTAATTAGTTGCAAATATAAGTTTAATTGGTTTTATTACTGCTTAAATTTCATAATATACTGTTTTACTTGTTTGAAAAAAGAAAAAAAAAGAAATTTCCCTAAAAGGAAATTCTCTAGCTCCCAGCCTCACCCTCCCTCTCCCCCCCACCCCCAGGGCTTCTACATATCTCTTGCTTTGGTTAATTTCAAATCTTTATTTGGATTTTTTTTTCAGCCTATAAAACCATGTCAGGAAAGCAATTCAATGAGAAAATCACTTTCAAAGAGTAATACAATTCCTTACTGCCCTCGTTTAGGAAGATGGTTAGTCTAAAACAGGGTACTAGAAAAAAAAAGAAAATGTAAAGAGAAGGGCACGTTGAAGATAGCAGAAGGGATGTAATAGCTCCACATATGCAAAGCAGGCTTAACCAGTTTCACTCAGAAATGTTTTTCAAGCAATAAAGATGCAGTCAGATCTTGGCCGTGATATAACCCACAACTGCCAATTCCAAACCTTCTGTTTTGACAATTTAATTATTTAAAAAATGCCAGAGGAGACACACAACAGATGTTTTGCTTCTTCCTTTCCACAGAGCAATTTGCTGTTAAGTAGACCATTTTCATTTCAGATCCTTTTTCTGATACATAAAAGTGGGCTTCCCTTGGGCGAGCTGTCTCTTTCTTGGCCACCCAACCTCGCTTACATAAAGTGTCTGCTATGTGGCAGGCACAGCACTAAGCACTGGGGATACAACTAAGAAAAAGGAAGACAGTCCCTGCCCTCAGGGAGCTTACAATCTAAGGGGGGGGGGAACAAACACACAAAAAGGAAGCTGCCAAGGGGAGGAGGGGCACCAGAAGGTACCCAGCATGAAGGCCTGAGGACGATACTGGTGCTGAAACCACGCAGAGTAGCTGGTGGCAAATGAAGGGCCATACCCTTGGCCTTGAGATACTTGGGCTTCCGTGTTCATGAATTCTGAATTCTCTCATCATAATCTGTCGTCATTCCACCTCTCCCTCTACCTTGCTACCCCAGTCCCTGCTCTTCATCCTTGGTGTGACCTCTCAACCCTCGGCCCTTCAGTTCTTTCCCAGGCCATACTCTTCTTCCTTCCCCATCTTGACTCCCTGGTAAACCAGTTCTTCAACTCTACACTGTCCTCCCCTCCTGAGTCTCTTTCTCCCTTCCCTTATTGTATCTTTGATCTTGCCCAGCCAACCCTCAGCCTTGGATCACTCCCAGCATCTGCTGCCCTCCCTCCCTCCCACACATGTGCTCCTGAACAGAGCTGGAGAAGAGGATGAGTGTTCCGATGGGCCATTACAAATTTACATTACCCAACCTCAACCGGGCCCTCACTGGGACAGGAAAATCCTTTTACACCTCACTAATTAACACACCATCCCAACTTAGCACAAGGCTCTTCCAAACATTTTCATCCCTCTTCACACATGGCCACCCTCCCTCACCCTCTCAGCTGAGAGCCCTGCCTCACGTTTGACTGAACAAATGGAGATCATTTGCTGAGAGCTGCCTCCTCGTCTCCCAACGCTTGGCTGCCTTCTGCCACAATCTCCTCCTCCACCCCCATCTCACATGAAGAGGAGGCCCTTCTAACCAGGGAAAACCCCTCTTCATGCACAAATGATCTTGTCTTCTCAAGCAGATGGCATCCCTATCATTCCTACCCTTTCACTTCTCGTCCATTTTCCCATCTGCTTCCCTAAAATCTGTAAACGTGCCCATGTCCTTCCCTTCCTCAAAAAATCCTCACCTCATTAATCCATCTCCACATCTCTCCTCCCTTCTGTAGTTACATCCTTTGAAAAGGCAGTCTACAATCAATTCCTTAGCTTTGTTTCTTCTCAACTCTCTATCACCTGGATTCTGACCTCACCATTCAACTGATATGGCTCTCCCCAAAGCAACTAGGTGGAGCAGTGGTGAGAGCACTAGGCTTGGAACCAGGAAGACTCCTCTTCATGAGTTCAAATCCAGCCTCAGACACTGTGTGACCCTGGGTAAGTCACTTAACTCCATTTGCCTCAGTTTCTTCCTCTGTAAAATGAGCTGGAGAAGGAAATGGCAAAGCACTCCAGTATCTCTGCCAAGAAAACCCCAAACGGAGCCACAAAGGGTTGGACACGACTGAAACAAGTGAATCACAACAAAGTTACCAGTGATTTCCTGACTGACAACATCCAATGGCCTTTTCGCAGTCTTCACCCTTTTTGACTCCTCTCTAGCCTGTGATGTTGTCAATCAACTCTCTCATCCTTGATTTCTCCGGGTTTCTGTGACAGTGCTCCCTCCTGGTACTTCTACCTACCTCTTCCAGTCTCCCTTGCTGGGTCTTTGTCCAGCTCATCCCTGTCAATGGTGGCACAGTCCTAGGCCCTACTCTCTTCTCCCTCTAAACTCTCACAAGCTCCCATGGATTCAATGAACACCTCTGTACTAATGCTTCTCAAATTCATCTGTCCAGCCCTATCCTCTCTTCTGACTTCCAGTCTTAACTCCAAGTGCCCACTGGAAATCCAAAACTGGATTGCCACAGACATCTCAACACATTTAAACCTGAAGTCATTCTCCTTTCTCCCATATACACCCTCCCCTCTTCCTAAGTCCCTAATGCTGCTGAGGTAGAACCATCTTCCCAGTCACCTAGGCCCACAACGAGGTGACATTCTTACCTCCTCACTCTCTCTCACCTCCCCATATATGACCTGTTGCTAAGCCCTTCCAGTCTCACCTATGGAAACTCTCATATTTGCTGCCTTCCCTCTGCTGCCACTTCTCCCACCCTGGGGCAGGTCACGTATTGCCTCACACCTGGACTCCCTCAGCGGTCTACTGACTGATTCCCCTACCTCCAGCGTCTCCTGCCCCAGTCTATCCTCCTCACAGTTGTCAAAGTGGTGTTTCTAAAGGACAGGTCTAGCCATGTCACCTCACCCTTTCTGACCCCTCTGCGGCTTTGGATGTTGTCAGTCAACTCTTTTGTCCTCGATTCTCTGCAGGTGGGATGGCAGCCAGCCAGTGGAGACAGAGGGATCAGAAAGCTCCAGGGACTTCCCATCCTCCAGGATCAAATACAAATCCTTTGTTTGGCATTTGAAGCCCTCTTCAGACCGCCCCCTCCCACTTTCCCAGTCTTCTTACCCCCCACCTATGGACCAGTGCACCGGCCCTCCTACTGTTCCTGGAATGTGATGCCTCATGTCCTGACACTGGAATTTTCTCTGGTTCTCCTCCCTGCCTGAAATTTGATCCCTCCTCATCACTGTCTCCTGGATTCCCGGACTTCAAGTCTCAGATAAGAACCGCCGCCCTTCCCAACCCTTTAATTACTAGTGCTTTGTCTCTGATTATCTCCATTTTATCTTTTATGTGATTTGTTCATACAGAGCCGTTTGCATGTGATCTCTCCCATTATCCTGGGAGCTTCTTGGGAACATGGACTGTCTTTGGCCTTTTTTGGTATACCCAGCACTTAGCATACTGCCCAGCACATAGTAGGTGCTTAAAAAT